AGTTGGTTTCCTCTGTCACTGAAGCAAGCAAGCCTCATGCTAGTTTCAAGCTGCCTGGCTGCGGGCCACCATCTTGGCTGACAGTTAATTTGCATACTGCCCTGATTAGCCAATAGGAAGGGTAGTGGTCGTACGCTAATTACCACGTTTCTCTTTTATTAGATAGGACACACACACACATACACACAGTTTCCTCCTATTAATACTTACTGATGACAAAGTTTATGAATTAGGCATAGAAATAGATCAACAAAAATAGCTAATAATAAAATGTATCTTTTATAATAATATGCTGTAAAACTTATGGGAATGTAGTATGTCTCTTTCACTGATAAATTCATACCAATCAGATAACTGGTAACATATACAATGTGGAGACGCTGGACAATGGGATAATTTATGTCCGAGGCAGAACAGAGCATAAGGTAAAAGATTTCATTATGCAATTCAGAATGCAAAGCAATTTAAAATTTATAAATTATTTATTTCTGAAATTTCCACTTAATATGATAAAACTTCAGAAAGTGAACCCATGGCTAAGGGTGACTGCTGTAAAGTGTTTTTGTGCCTCTGAGGCACAAAGAAAAGTGACAGTGCTTCTAAGGCTGCTAGCCTTGAAGAGTGTGGGAGAAGAAACAATGATGGTGGCTCAGTTAGATTGAGGGAATTCTGGCACTTGAGGGAGGTAAGAAGTTATGGCAGTTTTGGCATGGTCCATTTCTATTGAAAATGGTACATCCAAGGTAGACTGCTCCATCTGTAAAGTCAATGCTGGCCCAGTCTGTTAGTTGTGAGGTCATCAATAATTGCTGGAAACTGACATGGTAAAAGCAAAGAAAGAAACCAACTCTTGGGAAAAACATCTACAGCCATGTATAGGGAGTGGGAAGATAAAGAATTGACAGCAAAAACAAATAATTAGATAAGAATTCTTAAGAGTAACAAATCACAGACAACAACAGAACTTAGTGAAAAGGCTCCCCTGTGACTATTACTAGAACAATTATCAATGACTCACAATAAGGAACATCTTTCCAAACTATACATAGGCTTTTTCTACCTTCCCCACATGGATTTTCTTCTCCATTTATGTGAACAACTGAATGTTTAGGGCCAATGCCCTGACTGGGTTGCAAATTGGTTAGAGCATCTTCCCAATATGCCAAGATTGTGGAATCCATCCCCAGTGAGAGAACATACAGGAATCAATCAATGAATGCATAAATAAGTAGAACAACAAAATTCTACCTTTTTTTCCCTAAAAACAACCAACCAAACAAAGAAACAAAACACACAAAACAAGAAACAACCTACAAACAAACAATGAATAAATATATAAAGATAATGAGTAAGGGGTTTAAATTTATTAGAAGCATGCTAATAGGATCATAACAAACTTCTGAGAGTTGATTCCTCTTCAATTGTCACAATAAGTTAGTTTAGTTTTATAGACTATCACTACATTATAAAATGTTCCCAAAGATAATGGTTGCTCATGAAGATAGATGCATTCCACTCTTAATGTATTAGTGTACTTCAGAACTAATTAAAGTAATTGTTACATTAAACATCTGTTTTAAACAGATAGTACTTTCTTGAACAGAATATAATCTAGTTAACTAAAAGAGAATAAATTATGCATATAAATACCTAATTGCTTCTGTCTGTTCAAATTAAGTAGGTATTAGTAATGCTTCAAATATGGAAAACCCATTCTTTCTTTCATCTTTTAAATGAGTTTGAGCATCTGCTTACTTTATTCCACAAATAAGACACTCCAATGGGGTAACAGAAAAAGACTGAACTGACATACAGAGAAAACCCTAATTTTTTTAAAAAGTACTGACACATGCAATATTACCTGGAAGTGGGCCTGTGTAAGCATATGCAGTTTTTTAAATTACATATAGGAAAAAAACATGTATTTTTTGCCAGTTTTATTTTCCTCAAAGAACAAAATTAGAGATACTAGAAAAGTATCAAGGATAATAGAAAGGGCACAATGAAAATAGGCTGAATAGTCATCCTTATTCCCCATGGACTGAGAGATTTCATAGGACATAGAACTTATAACGTAAAATCAAGAAAAGTCAAATGCATGGAAAAAAATCCAAGAGGGTAAGAGATCTATTCTTCTGTTCTAGTTGGCTCTGCCTGGGATCAAGGAAACTCATAAATTCTATTATTCTCTGTTGTCAAGTTACCTGCTGTTTTAATTGTACTTCTTGATGTTTCATTTCTTCATATTTGTACCTCGATTCAGTTGCTTCTTTTAATAACTAGAAAACAGAAACATTCTGGCAAAATACTAATAGTAATTAACATATGTTTAAAATGTCAAATGACCAGATAACCTTAGCCTTTATTCATTATTTATGAAAGAATCACAGGTCAGTGGGTGAAACATCCTATTACATCTCCTGTCAATTATCTATATTTTTTTATCAATACCAGTTTAACACTTAGATATGTAAGAATAGTATTTTAGCTGCTTATAGAGAAGAAGTATCCTGGTGGCATAAGGTTTATCAAATCAGTGTTACAGTCTGCTATTTTAAACAAAAATAACTAGACCAAATGGAAACAGAAAACAAGACTAGAAATCTTGACAGTATCTGGGCTTAGAAGCTCTTCTATTCCATGAGTGGCAATTTGAGTAGAAAAAATATGGAACCAATTAATGAAAACAGAGATCAGATTTCTAACTCTGTTTCTGGGAAGAAGGGTCTGGTCAACACAGGGTGGGGCAAAGGTAGATTTATAGTATTAAGTACATAAAACAACGTTTATTCTTTTATCACTATTTGTTCATTATTGTATTATTTTCTATACAAATAACGGTGAACCTACTTTTGTCCTACCCTGTTTACATGGGTTTAAAAGAAAATTATATAGTAAAGTTGCATGGTACATAATTATGAAATTCAGTCTTTAAACTTCTGAAACAAAATGTTATACACAATTCAATTAAGCCTTTAAAAGTCCTTAAATCAACCAGAAAGTATACATATGTACTGCATATATGTATGTGTATGTGTATATATGTTGAAAACAGCAATTGCTTCTTCAGTTAAGTATTGGATACCATTGTTGGCTTTCACTGAATGTTCACTCTGTGAAATTGTATCTCTCTAAACCTTAGACCTGCACTTAATGAGTTTTTCACATCCTGAGGAATACCTGAAAGATCCATTGAATGAAATAGTCCATTTTATGTAATAAAAGGCTACTATGCATATCGACCGAACAGCACAATGGCCAGTCACTATAATGTGCACTGACCACCAGGGCGCAGACACTCAATGCAGGAGCTGCCCCCTGGTGGTCAGTGCACTCAAACAGAGGGAGAACCACTCAGCCAGAAGCTGGCTGTTGAGTGCAGTGGTTGTGGCGGCAACCTCTCCTGCCTCCACGGCAGCGCTAAGGATGTCCAACTGACAGGGAGTAGGCTTAAGCCGTCAGACATCTCCTGAGGGCTCCAGAGAGGGAGAGGGTGAAGCCGGGCTAAAGGGACCTCCCTCCCCATGCACAAATTTTGTGCACCGGGTCTCTAGTATTATTATAACTATTTACCACTTCATTTAAGTTACATATATAGTTTAATTTCCATACTTTAAGTTTGGATTCTAACTATAATCACAGTTGGAAAACTTGATATAAAATACTAGAGGCCTGGTGCATGAAATCCATGCACTCGGGGGTTGGAGGGTCCTTCAGCCCAGCCTGTGCACTCTTGCAGTCCAGGAGCTCTCGGGGGAAGTCTGACTAATGGCTTAGGCCCATGGGTCATCTTTAGCACTGCCAAAAAGGTGGAAGAGACTCCCGCCACCAACTGCTGCGCTCGGCAGCCATGAGCCTGACTTCTGGCTGAGTGGCACTCCCCCTGTGGGAGCACTCCAATCCTGCATTGAGCATCTTCCCCATGGTGGTCAATGTGTGTCATAGTGACTGGTCATTCCACTGGTCAATTTGCAGATTAACCTTTTATTATCCTACTAGAAGCCTGGTGCATGAATTCATGCAGCAGTGGGGTCCCTCCACCTGGCCTGCAGGATCAGGCCAAAACCAGCTCTCTGACACTGCGGGTTTTGGATTGCATGAGGGTGCAGGCCAGACTGAGGGACCCCACTGCTGCACTGGGTCTCTAGTCTTATATATAAAAAAAACATAGTATGCAAATGTCCCCTCGAACAGAGTTCATCTGGGAGTTCAACCAGAGGACAGGCTGGCCGCGCTGGTATGTGGCCAAGGGAAGGGAGGGAGGACGTGGCGCGGGCAGATGGCGAGGGGAAGAAAGGAAGTACTGGTCAGGAGCCAGCAGCACATGGTCATTGTGCTGTTCGGTCGATATGCATAGCAGCCTTTTATTACATAAGATGGACTATTTCATGGACCCTACCAGCGCATGAATTTTGTGCACTGCACCTCTACTATAATTAGATAACTGTCTAGAATAACTGTCTTTAGCTCTCACAGACAAACTTGCCAAATGACTGCCACAATTTTAAACCTTGAGATTATTACCTAAAATTCAAGGCAATACTCTATACAAAGAAAAAATAAAACATATACAGGTCTTTCCACTAATTTGGTCTAAAACCTAGTGTGTTTGTTATATGAAAATCTCATCAGAAATAAAGGCTGAATGTATTCTAACATTTCTCAATCTAGAGTAAAAAAATGCATGATTTAGATGTACAATATTAAACTAGTTTAAATGATGTTAAAAGGTTTGATTATAATTCTGGCAATACATTTCTTTAAGAAATAGAACTTACAAACTCTCTCTCTCTCTGATGTTTTTCATCAGCTTCCTTTATGAGTTGTGTTGTTTGCTGAAGCTTGGCATCCACAAGCTGTTGTTGTAGTTCCTTACGTTTGAGCACTTTATCAATACGCTATAGAAAAAATAAAATTTCTTCCAACACTTAGTAAAAAAAGGGAACACATGGATGAGAATAAATAACATAAGCTACAATTACTTGCTTCTGTTTTTCCTGTTAATATAATCATAGCTAATACCATTAAATGTTTCTGTCCCTACACTTGTAAAAGCATCTATGTATATCACCTTGCAACCATCCTGAACTTGCAGGAATCATCCCGCTGATTACTACATGGTACCCATGGTTGTTGAAGTTGAAGGTAATCTGTCATCCATCAACAGTTTCATACTTCCCATTTCTGCTCTACATTAAAAATTAGGTCTAAGTTATCAAAAAGGATGGAGATCAAACTATTAAACTCATTCATAACACACATAAATTCCTGAACATTTTTTTTTCTCATTAGATTTCCCCAAATTTCTTAATGCAGGCAAGTTGCATGATATAATGGTAAAAATAACCTAGGGTCAAACCCAGGCTCAGTGAATGGCCTTGGGTAAATTCTGTCCCTTAATAAACCTCAGTTCTGTATCTATGAAGGTGAAAACCACATATACTTTACAGAGTTATAAAAATCCATGCAATGATTAAACTAAGATGCTTGGTGCCTAGCATGTATTACATGCACAATTGGTAAGAGAAGAAGTTAATATTTTCAAACTCAATTGTTAAGTGGTATTTATGGACAATAAAATAATTAGAATGCTGTTCATAGATGAAGAAATAATATAACTCTTTTAGTTAAAAAATCCTATGTAATAGAAAAAAATGCTGATTTATAACAGGTAACTTAATTAAGTTTTGAGGAGAACATGAGATCTGTCTTTGATTGAAAATAGTTCAATATATTATTAAATTATATCTTAACCAAAAAAGAAAATGTGGTAATACCTAAAATAAATAAGACAAGTGATATAAAAATATACTTTAAAATTCTCATTAATAGGGAAGTAGACTATCATTCTTAAAAAGGTAAAAATTTAAAGACTCCATTAAACAAAATGAGAAGTTTGTAAAAAATAAATCTACTAAAAATAAAATTCACTCATAGGCCTAAAACAAGTTTCCTTAAAAATATATTGCAAGGAAGGGAAGAAAAGGAGAGAAACCTACACATTAAAAAGAGCTGAGACATAGGAATTAATAAAACATATAAACCTTGTTTGGATCTGATCCCAGAAAACTTAACCATATGGGTGGGACATAGAAATGTAAATAGTGACAAAACATTCAACTGATTATTGATAAATTTTAGGTGTAACCATGTTATCATGGTTTTGCTTCAAAAGAAGTTCATGACTGTTATTTCAATATATGCATTCAAATAGTGCTGAGAGTGGTGTATTTATTTAAAAATGAATAAAATAACAGTTGCTAGACACAAAAGTGGATAACTTCTGAAGCTAACTGATGTATATTTTACTTTTAAGTTTGATACTTGCTATGATAAGTTAAAAAACTGTTAAAAGAGGAAAGAGAATAGTCAAATATGTTTTCAAAGACTTTTTAAAACTGTAAATGAAAACAAATCTCAAATTTGAATTGAAATTGGATAAATGCCTTAAGTGCTCTTTTGGTAGCAAAACACATAAAACTTCATTTTAAATAGTCATAATCTTTAAAAATTATTAATTTGAATCTTTTCATGTAAGGAACTCAATATAACAAATAAAAGTAACAATTCTTTTATTATCTTAAAGCATAATAAAGACAGGGAGGCATTCTTTGAAAAACCCAAAGCCTCCCACACTACATATTTGATCTCTTAAAGTAAGAAAGCTAAAATAAGCAGTTTATCACCAATTTACTTATAATTTAGACACTATCTAACTTCCAGACTAGCTTATAAAATAAATGCAATGATCAGGTTCTGCAGCCACTGATCGATCCTTTAGACTTCTTACTTCTTTAAGTGTGTAATAAATAGGAGGAGTGTGTGATGGATTAGAAGTTTCGTTTGCCTTCTCCCCAGATAATAGAGTAGATGGAATGCAATGATACTTATACATTGTACAGATATTCATAGAAGTCTAAGATAGAGTATTTGGAAATATAATGTGTATGCTAAAATCACCAGCTTCCAAGTATAAAATCACAATCTTCCAAGTATAACATGGCAAACAAGCAGTACTTAATGCATCTGCTAGAAATTACTTCAGATGTCCAAAGCCACGGACTCCTGGGCCATGGAGTGAGGGTTCCAATTAGTCCTTCAATTCACATGGTGCCAATTCCTTTCTAATAAATGCCTGATTTCTAACACGCATATACAAAAGATCTAAAATATTGTCCTGTAACAGTAGCTTTAAATTAGCAATGAATGGTAAAAGATTTTGATAATAATGAGATGCTGTCTAAGTAAATAAAACATCTTTACCTCCTCTCTCAGTGTGTATTGTTCAATAAGCCTCTTCAGCTTCTCTCCGAGTTCAATGTTCTCCTGACGAAGTTTGGTGTTGTGTATGTCATGTTGTTCCAGCTGTGTTTGAATTTCATTTAAAGTAAACTGGAAATGTGATGTTGCTTTTTTACGACTTTCTTCCTCTTCTCTTGCCTGCTGCATATTTTCCTCCTTATCATCCAAAATAATTTCTGTTAATAGTGTTAAGCCTATAGATAAAATGCTCACACAAAAGATGTTATTGCTATGTGGGTTAATGTTACTTCTGAGCTACTATTCCTTCTTCTGACTAGAAAGCTCTTACTTAAGAGCACTGAGATTGTTCTAAGTAATTATCAGACAGATAAAACTGCCCTGATCTAGACTAATAAAAGACAAACATGCAAACTGACTATACCTTCGCTATGCCTTAAGCCATGCCCACCAGCCAGAGTGACTATATGCAAATTAACCCAACCAAGATGGCAGCTTGCAGCCACAGAGCTGGAGCGAGCAGGAGGCTTGGTTGCTCTAGTGATGGAGGAAGCCAAGCTTCCCACCTGCCACGGCCAGCGATGAGCTACACTGAAGGCAATAAAGTTTCAATTATAGAAGGTAAATAAATCCCAGAATAAAAAAAATAAAAAAGGAGAGCTTCCGTCGCAGGGAGGAGGGGGCTTGGCCAGCCTGAAAACGGCCCTCAGCTCCTCACCCAAACTTGACAGGCACCCCAGTGGACCCCCCACCCTAAAGGGGTGTGGCCAGCCTCAAAACAGCCATCAGCCACTCACCCAGGCTGGCCAAACCTCCATGGCGTGAGGGTCCCTGGCAGCCCTGGCTTCATCTAGTCTAGTTAGCATATTAGACTTTTATTATTATAGATTATTATAGACCAGAGGCCCAGTGCACGGAATTTGGGCAGGGGAGGGGTGTCCCTCAACCTGGCCTGCACCCTCTGCAATCTGGGACCCCTTAGGGGATGTCCGACAAACCAAAATGAGGGACAACCCTCTCATAATCCGGGGCCACTGGCTCCTAAACCGGCAGTTGGACATCGCCCTCACAATCCAGAACTGCTGGCTCCTAATCACTTCCCTGTCTTGATTGCCCCTAACCACTTCTGCCTGTCAATCTGATCACCTCCTCACTGCTCCCCTGCTGGCTCGATCACCCCTAACTGTCCTCCCCTGCTGGCCCTATCATCCCTCAACAGCCTTCCCATTGGCCCGCTCACCCCCAACGGCCCTCCCTTGCTGGCCTGGTCACTTCCAACTGGCCTCCCCTGGCAGCCTGGTTGCCCCCAACTGCCCTCCCCTGCTGGCCTAATTGCCCACTACTGTCCTTCGCTGCCGGCCATCTTGTGGTGACCATCTTGTGACAGCATCACACGAGGGCATGACACCACCCAGGGTTTTATTATATAGGATGTAAGGCTCACTACTGCAAAACAAGTATTTACTTTAAATAGATATTCATTGATTTTAAATCACCCTAAGTACCTCCTAAAAAACAAACAAATAAATAAATAAACCATCTAACCTTTAATGTCTTGTTGTAACGCTGAAGTTCCCTGCAGAGAGACTCTAGCTTGCTTCTTGCCAAGACAGCCTTGTTATGTTCACTCTGCAAGTGAACTTTCTCTTTCACGATCTGGGATTGCTTCTTCTGTAGAACCTTCATTTGTTTCTGAACATTCCAACTCTCCTCCAGCTAAAAAACAAGCACACTTAGAATTTACAAATTACAGTAAGAACCTATGTGTTCCCAGTGAAAGAATTCCAGTCATGGAACCTTTTATTCAGTTGTGAAAGCCAGTATACAAAAATAAGTGTATGAAGAAAACCAATCTCAATACGTACTTTTAAAACATTAAAAACAAATATTTTTAAAAAAAACTTCTCATGCATTAATACCACCTAGTTTTACTTTTGTATACGAACATACAAATGTAAGCAGCACTCTGAAGTCTTTGTAAGAGAGGAAGCCAATTTTATAGTTAGAGCAAATTATTCTATTTTACACTAACAGATAAAATAGTAGTCTTGGTGACAGTTCAATAAAGCTTTCATGAAGAATAAATGACAAGAGCAAGAGCTAGCTAAGAAACCTATCAAGCAACAATATATTTATGCCTATTAAACACACCTCTATTAAAATTGATGACATGGGTAAGAAGAGTCAAAATATAATGAGAAAAAAACTAGACCTTTGTCAATAAGCGTGCAATACATTATACAGATATTGATTCCTAATGTATAACTGAAATTTATATTAACCATTGTCACCTCAATAAATTAATAATTTTGCTTTTCTATTTTATCATAAACCACAAGCACAGCACATTTAAACTGATTTAGGTTCTGCACAAATTATCTGTAACTCAATCTCTTTCTTTCCACCTCCAAATACTCTTATATACCAGAACATGAGTCAAAATAGTATACCTATTTTAACTGTGCTCTTTAATGGTAATAGTAATAACAAATTGCTGGTGTTATAGCTAATAAGTGACTGTGCTATTTCACTAAATTACACTTACTTTATTAGGTACTGAAAATTCAGCTAATAAACATCTACACTAATGAAAGAGAAACATGGTAATTGGCGTACGACCGCTACCCTTCCCATTGGCTAATCAGTGAGATATGCAAATTAACTGGCAGCCAACATGGCAGCCGGCAGCCAGGCAGCTGATGCGAACAGGGAGGCTTGCTTGCTTCAGTGACGGAGGACTCCAATGTTCCCCGCCTGACTTGCCAGCCTCTCAGCTGCAACTCTAAGTAACTATGTTGCAAATATAGAAGCTAAAAAAACCCCAGGAACCTGCTTTACTCCGCAGGGCTTCAGCCAGCTGGCCCACAACATTGTATCAAATACAGACGGTAAACAAAGGCCAGAAAGCTGTTTTCAGCAGCCTAGGCCTCAGAGGTAAAGCTGACCCAGAATTAAAAAAAAAGAAAAAAAGGAGCGGTTGGGAGCTTCAGTCCCAGCCTGAAAACAGCCCTCAGCCCCTCACACAG